TTCTACTTAAATGCCATCACTGAAAGTTAAAATGTGGAAGAACTGGTAAAATAAACCTGGAAGAACTGGTAAAAATAAACCTCTGGGTYTTAAAGAGTCAGAGCAGTTGCAGTCACAGTTTAGAACTGCACCATGGATGGTCAGTAGGAATATGTTTCTTCTGTGGTAGCAAAAAAAAATACCAACRTTTCCACAGAGTCAGAGGTTTTTCTGTGTCAGGGGCTGGAAAAGGCAGAGGGAGAGCAGGGCACCACTGGAGGAGGTGTCAGGCACTGTTTGGAGGGGTATGGAAGTGCAGMAGGTTTGGAAGGTGAGAATAAGGGCCAAGAATGGAGAGGTCCTGCCTGGAGTGAGACTAAGGAAAGAAGGGTAAAGGAAAATATGGTAGTATCTGAATCTGGGGGGGTTTAAGGGTAATTTTAACATATTTTCATTTTTTTGCTAGGACAAAAAGGATGCATGGTTTTGGGTTTTTAATTTCAAGAGGTAGAGTTCTGAAGAGGAGAGAACATTAAGGCTTCATGTCTGGATAAAATATTAACCCTTCTGCTTTTTAGAGATGATGCTGCAGAGCTTTGGTTTTTTCAGTGGTAGATTAAATACAGCAATTGCATTAAAAAATGGAAAAATTAAAAGTGCATGTTTTCTGGCAGGTTTCTAGCTTTCTTTTGAATTAAATGTTTTCTCTTATACTGATTCTTCAGAGCGAAAATTTTCCACAGACACATTTGGTAGAAGGAATATTTCATTTCACTTTGTTTTTTTCATACGTTTCAGGTGACCAAGATTTTTCAGAAGAAGAAGAACTCTGTTACATACAGTTTCCGACAGTCCTTTTCCCTCTATGGAATGCAAGTTCTTCTCTTTGAAAACCAGTGTAAGTATTTCCTCTCTTTTTAGAGGATCACTTTGTTCATAAATAAAACAAAAATGGTGTAAGTGAAAGGGATGGACAAGACTTGATTTTGGATTGATTCTAGGAATTAAATTGCTCTGAATTTAATTTAGGCCTAAAGTTTAAAACAAGGTGCTGTCATCATATAAAACAGCAAGACTGCTGTTGGAGTTTTTGGTTGTAGGCAGAAGTCAAATCTCCCCAAATGTGTTTGTGATTACTTGTAAAGAATAAAAATGATTGTGAAGAAACAAACATATCTGTTGCTGAGTCAATTGTACAGTTAGCTGGAACTGAGTGATAATAAATAATAACTATTATAATGATATCTGTAATTTAAAACAGATTTTTTGTTTTGAAAATAAACAAAATTTATTTTCTGGATTTATGGMTTTACTTTGCCTAGATAATGCATGCTACCTCAAATTTAAATACAAAGCACAGAGTCTGCATTCAAGCTTTTGTTTTCTGACACCTTTTTTTTTTTATGGCTGTTGCAATCTGTGTCAGTCCAGTATTCTTTTTAATGCTTCTTAGCAGACAAAAACCCAAATAATTTGCTRAAACCCTGCTTCTAAGCTCAAGTACAGCATCTGACAGCAGACCAGAGTTGTTTGTATGGTACATAGAGAGGCTGCCTGACTTGACTTCATGGTTTGTAACCAGACCTTCCTCCCRATAAACTGAGAACAGACCAGTGTGATCTGCAGTAGTTCCTGTGCTTTTCTGACATGGAAGGTTCTGATTTTTGCCTTGTCCTTGAGAATGTGCTCCCTAAAAAGCCATTTCTGTTACTGAATCAAAGCCTCTGGAGATTTCCAAAGGGAAGATTTTGCAGAGCTTACAGCAGCTCTGGAGCCCACTGATTATTTCTGTGCTTACACATGCATTCTCTGTCTCYTGGGCACGCATTATATGATATAAAATTCAGTTTTGGAGAGGAAGGCCAAATACGCCTATCCTGGATTCTACTAAAAATAGAAGGATTTATAATTCTCTGTTGCCATGTTAAGTAAAAGATATTAAAAAAATACAAGCATGCTGAGTAGAAACACTAATCAAATAAACTTTAAAATATCTCTAGTAAAACAAGGAGTAAGGATTGGATTCCTCCCAGACTGGAGGCATTTTAACAAACACRGTTGGGCTTCTGAGTTGAATTCACTGCACTGCATCAGTGAACAGAYTGTGCTCTAATTTTGCTGCCTGTTAGGTGGGATGCACTGTTTTCCACTTTGGAAAGAGAAGTGTTAGTCCCCTTTGGTTTGTAAAATTCAATATYCTTGGTCTCCCCAGTCCCCAACAAGCTTTGGGCTGTTTTGGSCAGAGCCATCAGTAGCTCTGTGTGGAGCAGCTGTCACAGTCAGCTGATCTCAAGGGAATAAAAGTCAGTGTTGCTAAAGCAGAAGCAACAAAAATATTGGTTTGGCTGTTGGGGAGATTGAACAACGACTGGCACTGGTGATAGAAGAATTGGCTTTTAATGATACAAGGCAATTATGTTGAGGGATGGATGAGCTCCAAAAGGGAAAACAATGTMATATATCTCTAGTAAATAAATAGGCCATACGGGAACTATATTTTACATTTTCAGTCAAAATCACTAAGAAAATATTAAGGGGAAGCAGATCACCTCAGACAGTGTCTGAAACCAGTAAGTACTGATGTGTTTCCTGGTGTTTGACCAATGCAGTATGGAGAAGTATCTCTGGTAATRAAATATGTGTGTTTGTTATGTGGAAATTCTTTCTTAGTTCATAGGTGGGAGCAACCCATGTGATTTTGGGGTTGCTAGGTTTCCTTGTTTGGTTTTGTTAGCATTTTTATTTTTCCCTGGAGTGGTGCAGAGCTGTTTGCTGCATTCCCTGTGCCAGCATTCCCAACACTCCACTGAGCCTGCCCAGCACTGGGGCCCTTTGGCTGTGTGAGATACTGACAGCAGATCCTAGCAGAACCCCCAAATCCTTCCTCCCTCCTTCCCCTCYAGACCCTTTGAGCCTCATGGCAGTTACTCTGTTTTCCCTGATGATTGTAAATGCACTTGCTCCAGTTTGAGTTGCAGCTCTGATCTGGGAGTTAATGTACCCTAAAAAAGTCAAAGTTAAGGTACCCTAAAAAAGCCAAAGGTAAGGTACCCTAAAAAGCCAAGGTTAAGGTATCCTAAAAAAACGCAAGCACGTGCACTGGTTTCTCAGTAGTTCTCAGTAGTCTCCTTGAAACCTCATGGTTTGAGGAAGAAGAGAGCCTTACATCATCTGCTGGCTCTTGAGGGAGGGAGGTTTCAGCACATGGRAGCCCTTGAACTTGGGCTCAAATGCTTGAATAAATATTTGAGAGCTTTAGCAAACCAAGAGGGGAAGACAGCTGAGTAAAAGAAAACATTGTGAGTTAAAATGCACAAGTTGAGGTTTGCTGATACCCCATTTCTCCAGGCCTGTGCTTCAAGCAAAGACTGGTTCTGTTTTCTACAGTACTGTGTATTTTCATTCTGAGTGTCTTTCTGTAAATGGACCTTCTGTCTTAACYGTATTTTTGACCAGCTGTTAAATTTCAGATGTCCAGTTAGAAAAGAACCAAAGACAGTTTGCTGAAAAATCTGTCTTTTGTTGAGWAAATGTCAATAAGATGGGTCAAAAGAGAGGTGAAAAAGCCAGACCATTCTTTTTACTTCTTCAGTGTGTGATTTCACAAATCACTTCAACTTCATTTAAAAAAAAAAAAGGAAGGTATAATGTACAGAAAACACAACTMCATAAGAAGTACTAAATCTGTAACTGCTTGTATGTTTGTCTTCCTGCAAATGGTGAGTTAAAACACAATTTGTAGCATTTGAAATCAATTTGTAGCATTTAAAATGTCTTCAAATAGCCTGTAAACTCAGCAAAACTTGAGTCACAAGTGGGTAAGGTAGGCCATGGGATCTGTCCGTGAAATAAAAATGATCCCTTTAGTTTTTTGCTTTATTTCTGCTGTTTTCCATAYATATTGTATGTTGTACCTTAAGGGTAGCAGCTGCATAAAGATACCTTTCAGTATTTGTTYGGTATTTGACAGTTAAGCTGTTCCRATGTACCTTAGGGATTTTTATTCTAATTTTGTGCCTTCAAACTTTTATTTCTCTGGCTTTGTATCCTCTGTGGTAATATTAGTAAAAAGCCTTCAGTTTTGGTGGGTATTTTTATTAAAAGAAAAGCAGTTGGAATAATCAGAGCTTAGTTTATCTTCACTTTTTCTTYCAGATTATCCCAATGGCATTCGGCTCACGTCAGCTGTTCCAGGAGCAGATATCAAAGTACTCATAAATTTCAATGCACCAAATCCTCAGGACAGGAAGAAGTTTACAGATGATTTGAGGGAGTCGATTGCAGAAGTTCAAGAAATGGAAAAGCACAGAATAGAGTGTAAGTACAAAGGTACATATAATAGAGCATTTTCMAGCTAATCAGAATAAAAAAAAATCTGAATATGTATATAGCAACGTATTAGAACTCCTTAAACATTAAAATTAATGTRGTTTTCACCATGACTTTGACTCAAGATGGAGAAAAAAACAATAATGCCTTAAGCCTCAGCTGAGTTCATTGACTCCTATTTACTGCAGTGTAGCTGCAGTGGAAGTTCAGCCAGGACAAACTGCAAATAACAGTGGACAGAGGAGAGCTGCATCTGTGATTTGTAGCATAAATTACAGCAAGGATTTTAAGTGTCATTTGGACAGGGGAGAGCTGGATCTGTGATTTGTAGCATAAACTACAGTAAGAATTTTGGGGGTAGTTTACATCACACTGAAATTCTCAATTGCCCTTCCAAGAAGTTTCATTGAAATTTTCTTCATTTCCCTGTTGCTATTCCTGTACTCAAYAAGGAAGCCATGGTACAAACTGATATATTTTGCTGGTAGTTCTATGAGTGTGTAAGCATGAAATTCTATCCCATTTTTCCAAAAGAGGCCCTGTTCCACATCAAGCTGTTGGTAGAGGGGTGACRCTCCTCTGTGGCATTGCCTCCCCTGATCCCCTTCAGACACAAACACCAACTGCAAAACCCCTGTTTTCTGTGTGTTGCAGCCGAGCTGGAGAAGCAGAAGGGGGTGGTGCGTCCCAGCATGTCGCAGTGCTCCAGCCTGAAGAAGGACTCTGGCAATGGGAGCCTGCCCAGGGCCTGTCTGGATGACAGCTACGCCGGCGGCGAGGGGCTGAAGCGCAGCGCGCTGAGCAGCTCCCTGCGGGACCTGTCCGAAGCAGGTAAGCGCTGCCTCTCCTCCCTGGCTCTCTGCATGCACAGCTGCCTCCACCGTGCCCACAGAGCTCTGGGCCTCCAGAAATAGCACTACTGGAATCTCTCACTTCCAAATAGTTCCCCCCCACACAGCTCGTGGTTAATTTCTGTTCATTTTTTTTTACCTTTTGTTCTATTAAGCGGCCACTGTTTGAAAGCATTTAAGCCGTTGTAGGTTGCTATAGAAACTTTTAAAGGACAGTGAAGACAGAGGAAGAATTGTAAGTTTTTAATAAAAAAGATACTACTGACTTGTGGTAGGAGTAATTCTCTTAGTTTTCCTTTWTTTTYTTTTCATCTCCTTTGCTTCTTTTCCCTCCTAGAGTAGGCCTAGAAAGGAAAGGAAAGCTCCTGGTCTCTGTGTAACGAACGCTTTCTGTGCATTCTGTGCTCAAGTCTACCTGTGTTACCACCCGGATGAATGAAATTGAGTGAAGCCTTCCTAAATTCTGTCTAGAGCTGTGTAATTCAGTGTGTCCCTGATGCTCTTGTTTTGTAACTCAGGCATAGTTCCTAACTCTTGCAAAAGAGCTTGTTGTGAAGTACTCCTGACAGTATAACCRAAGGAGCCCTAATGGACGAGAATACTGATAACCCACAAAGCCACTGATGTTCTTAAGTTTTACTAACTGATTGAAACAGCTGAAGACAGGACAGCAGTGGTGGTGTGATTTTTTAGCCAAAGCAAGCCAGGGGAAGTTTGGCATGTTTTTATCTGATGGTTTGCCTCACACCTGGCATAGCCATGTAACCTTGCAGTATTAAAGATTCCTGTCACTGACAAGAACTTATATCTCAACACCACGTCCACTATTTAGAAAGTGCTTCTAGGGATAGTAGTAACTCTGTTTTTTTTAATTATTTGTTTTTTAGTTTATAGGTTGTGTTCCATACTCTGTTCTTTTAATTGCAGTGATGATGTACAGTGTAGTCATAATTTCAATATTCTGTATATCTTTGGTAGTAGACCCTACTTAGCTCTCTCCTTTTTTTAACTAAAGAAGAGATTTTAGCTATGTTGCAATAAATAAAACTGTTGTAAACTGAAATGATAGCCTGTGTTTTGTGGGTATATGTATGTGCATACAAATATGTAGAGAGCGAGCTCTTTCAATTATTTTCTTCTCTATTTAGGCTTCCATACTCACATCTCCATTTGCTTCATTAAAAAGACTTAGGCCCTTGATCCAAAATCAAGCTGAAGTTCAGTATTGGTGCTTGCTTGGCTCCAGTGGATTTTGGATCAAGCCCTAGTCTTCACCACCCCTATCTCTCGGATTTGAGGATACCTCATCGTCCTTTTCTGTTGTTTTGGTTTTAATTCATTAGAATGAGAACTACCATATTGTTAATATGTGAGTTCAGTGGGTATCTGTACCCCTAAATGTGATCTCTGATTAATTTTTTCATTCCATCAGAATTACTCATCTCTGTCTTTCAAACACTGCCATGTATTTGAGTTCATATTATGGGTTTAATTCAACAAACAAGCATTTGTAATCATAAACACATTTCACAGGGCATGCCTACAATTGGCATGCTTATTACTGAAAATAAACTTTTTCCATGATAAAAAGTTGAAATCACTCACAGACTGCAGGGTTTATCAATGAGWTTGTTAAACCCAACTAAACTTAATTTTAACTTGAACTAGCTGTGAATTATGGAGAGTTTCTGTTTGGTCTTGTGCAGTGCAACTGACTTTGGGAAATGTCCTGCCTGTTACTTGCTTTGTTATTTGGTGGAGTGACTTCAGGGAGATGATCCATGTCTTTCCTGCCTGTTCTCAGGGAGTTGCTTGCATGTGAGGCTAATTTTGTTTTCAATATGGGAAAGATGATCCATAGAAAAGCAAAGAAATCTCTTGCAGTTAGGAAGATACTGGGAATATCCCATATTAAATTGCTTCTCTAAAACGGACTGAGTTAGGTTACCACAAATCTTTTTGAAAAAAAAGTATCAACAAGGAGGACAAGGATCAAAGAGGAGGAGGAGGAACAAGAGTGTGTGGGCGTGTAGGAAAGTGAGTATTTAGAGAGGYCCTTTCTACATTTAAACAGAAATAAGTCTTAACAAACATGAAGAGATGGCCTGGTTGCATATTTATGCAGTTAGGCAACAAATGTTCAATGAACATTGCAAAGCCAAACTTTTATCTGTTTACTCAGTGAAGGGAAATGTGATTGAAGAGYATTTGGCTGCACAGGTACATGACAGAACTTTCAAAATAAACAATCCATTGCTGTCCCCCAGACATCCCAGTAAATAGTGGCTGTGGAAAATGACTTTAAATTTCTCTGAGTGATGATTCAGAAGCTCCTGAGGTCTGACAAATGATGATAACCTGACTGATTCTGCCTCCTGAGCTGGAAATGCACAGAAAAGCGGGATTTTTCCATCAGAAATAATTTCCTGAGGGTGGTTCTGCCRTGCTTTTGCCACAACAGTACAACTCAACTGTGGAAAGGATCTCTTCATTTGAGAGATGCTGTTGTTCCTKGTGGATTGACAGTTCTTTCCATGGAATATAAACCAGAATGTGGTAGCCAAGTGTTTCAAGATGGGAGTACATCAAAAATATTTAGTGCTTCGTTTTTCTCGAAAGAGAAGTTTATCATTTTTATTGCACATTCCTGAGCTACAGTGAAGGAAGAACTGAATTAATTTGCTCCAGACTTTGAAATTCTTAATTTATGCAAAAATATTAGAAGCCAGACAAATTTTAATGTGTCTAAAGCTGAGTTTTATGAGTTTACAGAAAAATGGGCAAAGTGTGATGTCCCCTCATGGTCGCTATTCCACAGGAAGAGTGATTCAGTCACTAAAGCAGAGCAGGAAGGATTGGACTGGTTGTGTTTCCCATTCTGTATCTCTCCCACTTTTCTGGACTGATTTYAAGTTATTTAATTTAAATTCCAGCCCCTTTGAGTTGCTGGGGGTCCCAGTGCTTTCACATTGAGTTTACAATGGAAAACAAACCTTATTCCCACGGTCCCTAACCTGTAAGGTGGGAATAATATTTCCACACTGACCTGGTTTAACAAYTGTAATTTTATTGTCTGCCCCAGTATTACACAACTGGCATACCCAGGTGAGTACTGCAGAAGTGCAGGGTGGTGCAGTGGTTCCTATTATTGGGAGCTGGGCTTCTCTCAAAACAGCCCCAGACCAATAAAGACCACTTAAAAACCAAAACAAACCAAAACCATAAAATCGTTCCAGAATTAAAGTAATTCTGTTTCTCTGTTTGCTTATAAAATCAGTGAACCTTTAAATTATTAAATGTTTCTACCTTCCAAAAAGCATTTTTTTTACAATGTCATTATGTATTTTGTTTAAATTTGCTATATTCCATAATATAACAGGAAAGATTCTGGAAATTCTCAGCATTGTAATCCCCTCAAAAAGACTGCATTTGTGGAATCGCAGAGTCCCTTAATATATTGAGTCAATCTGTGCTGGGATGGTGCCATGTCMTGCTCCTCTCTCCTGCCATGCAGGGCCACTGGCTTATTCCCTCCCTCGTCCCTGTGGATTTTGCACAGAGGATACCAGCAGTCTTTTACTCCCTCTTCAGAAGAGCTTTCCAACTAGGGAGAGCTTGCTCCTGTCTCATCCTTTGTGACTTTTGTAACATTTCCTGTTCCTCAGTGGAATAGCAACAGAAGAGGGCTTGATAGAATTTACTGGGTTCTTTAAATCAAGSACATTTGTATAACACAAATCTTGGGAGTGATGACACTCAGCCATTTTACAGGAYACCCCCACTGTACATCAGCACTTTCCAATCACCAACTTTTCTGTCTTAGGAAAGCGACACTGTTTACTTTGCCAAGGGGAGGAGTTTGGCAGGCTGAGGTGTGGTTTCAGCTTCTGGCCTTTATCAGTATTCTGAGAATAATCTAAAGATGCCAAAAAACTGTTTTGACCATCACTGTATGATCCTAAGACTGTACTTGTTTCACACAGAAAACAAGATGAAAATGTGAAGGTCACCAGGAGTCTTTTCCCTCCTGGAAAGAGTTCTCTCTAATGATTAGAGCATCTTTGAATTCCAAACTTTTGTCCAAATTTTTCCCACCATACAAAACCAGATCATAATACATTGTTTAGCTATCAGTTATCTCACTGGCCCAGGAGAGAGTTTCAAAAACTACAGAGTAGCAGTGAGAGATATTTCCATATACCCAAGTGATCTACAGCCTGAGCTGTGAGATCATCACACATTCTTGTGATGTGTGTCCTGCACTCCTGCACACATCCATTCTGCAAGGTGCAATGGATTTTATAAATAAAGCTCAGCTTTYTTTTGGCATGGTTAAGTTTGTAAAAATATTTCAATCACTTCATATTTCTGCTATAAATTGGAAATGTTCTTGGCCCCATATAAAGCATGTTCATATATGGGACACACACTTATGTAAGTTAAAGATATTTTGTACAAGGAATATTCATATCTAACATCAGGGAATTGTTAGAATTAATCAGAAAAGGTTACATTAATTGAAATTTAGTTTTATAATATGAATTAAAGCACACTCTAACAGCCTTAAAAAATTAACGTAAGCATAACATGTTGAGCAAAACTAATCCTCAGATTTGATAAATGCCACCTTGCTTTATACCACAGCTGCTAATTATCCTGCCAGTACATGCTTAGATGCTGTTCCAGTCGAGAGTCACCATTTTCGTGCCATGCATGTGAAGGCTGGAGCTCTAGGGAGACATTTCTGAGATGGGATGGCATCCCAAAGACCAGGGAACAGTCTGGAATAAACACACATTGGCAGGGGGAATGCTCCAGGGGATTTACTGAATAGCCTTCACATCACACTGCAAGTCAGTACAGAATTGGGTTCAATTTGTTTTTAAGAAAACAAACACRGCCCTTGTACAGTGATAGTGCCTATCTGAGGGAAATTGCAGGCATTTTAAGTAGGATTTTTCTGTTTGTTCTTGGCTATGCAAGTACTACTTTGCCCTGAAGTTATTCTGAGCAAAACTCCATCTGTCGCTCTCTGTCCGTATTTACTGTGTCCATGGTTATTTGATCAGACTGTGACTCCTGCCATATGCAAAAGGCATTGGATTGTTGTGTTTTCCTTCATTTTGGCCACGTTTAATGCCCTGTGTCCGYGCTCAGTCTTATTTGCAACCCTGACTGCTAAGTTCCGAGGTGGCTGTCGCAGTGTGTTTGCATCAGCAAGCAAGAGTGATTGGAGTGTTAATCAGTACTAATCCTGTTATCAGAGCAGAAAAATATCAAAGTCTGACAAAAAGTCAAAAGAAGGGATTTTCAAAACTGCTTTTTCTTGGGGGACTCAGAAGATAGTACAGCTGTGGTTTTACTGMGGCTAAAACTGCAGCAGGAGATGAAGTGATGAGCTATGGTCAAAGAGCCCATCCAGGGTAATGGTTCCAAATCCCAACAAATTTGACAAGTCAAACAAACCACTTTGACCACAAACACCGTACCCTCAATTTAATGTCGTTGCTGAGGGGTTTGTACTGGAGAACAGCTCTCCATGATGATAAGAGAGGGGCAAATGTTCCAGTAGCCTGAAACTTTAGCTCTTGAGAGAAGCTTGTGTTTCAGGGCAGTGTCCTGTGACCAGTCAGGTCAAAGTCATGCTTATGAATCCGACAGGAGGTATTTTTTTATCATACTGATCCTTTAGTCAGTCTGAATGGTCCTGTGACCACTTCCAATGTTCCCTAGTTCTCATCCCAGGTGGTTTTAGGATATCTGAGATGAGGTACATTGCTCATTGGTTCAGTGATGCTGATATCCTCACATTCTCCCCCAAAACCACCTCTTTGAATAGAAGATCCTGAAGGCAGCAATGTGTCAATGCAGGGTGGAGATTGTGATATTTGGCCTTGCAGGAAGGCAAGGAGGGAGCACGGAGAAAAATTTGGTTTCTAAAACCGTGCAGATTTTAGGGAAGCTCTGAGCTCCTGAGGACTCCTCAAAGCTTAACTTTGTTTCTACACCCTGCCAGGAAAGTGTTCTGGAACTTTGCAGAGCAATGCTCCACAAGCTATCTTCTAAAAATCTCTATTTCCACTTCAGCCAGATGCTGTTTTCTCTGCTGTGAGATTRGAAAGAAAATCTGGGATCCTGTGTCCTATAGAGCCACTGAGGTCTTCTGGCTCTTTAGGCAAACAGTTTGGAGTTTCACATGTGGGTTTAGGTAAACATCTTTGCAATTTGAGACTGTTGGAGGACAAATCCAACATACTTAGAGATAAAGCACTGCACAGCTAAACAAACAAAATCTAGCCATAATGTCAAGACAGATTCCAGATTTGCTGATCAAAAATTAAGTTTAGTTTTTTTTAAACCTCATGAAAGAAGATTGTATGAAATCCACTGAGGTTCAAAGCTGAAATTGAAATGATAAAACCGATGAAATGATAAAATCGGTGAAGTGATAAAACCAATGCCCCTCACAGTGCCCCACACTGAAGTTCAGAATATTTCAACATTAAATTTTGCATTTAAATTAATCCACCCCACAAGTATATCTCAATATTTAAAGAACAATATCTTCATAGCCGATTAGAACCCAGGAAACCAAACCATTTTAAACTGTTGCTGCTCAGCATCACAACCCCAGCACTGAATTCAGCTGCTAAAATACACGTACTTCAAAACCTGTGCAAATCTAAAAAAAAAAAAAAATCACACCCTGCTCATGCTAGTTAATTCACACCAACAACAACCCTCAAAATTTCCATTCAGCCCACTGAAACGCAGCCAGGTACAGAGAGTTGCTGTCGCTGATGGCCCTAAAGCTGTGAGGTTGTGCCCCGAGCCGCTGTCCCCATGCAGCCCGGGGCAGAGGCGCCGCGGGCGCGGGGCCGCAGCTCTTCGGCGCCGGTCGTGTCGCAGTCTCTAATCTCTGCTGTTGCATGTCCTGGGCAGGCAAGCGTGGGCGACGCAGCAGTGCAGGATCGCTAGACAGCAATATGGAAGTAAGTAGGAAGTTCCTGATGTCTAGCTGGATGTGATGATGTGCATTTCAAACCTTTCTTTTATATACATATATTTTTTTGCTCTTTTTTCTTCTAACATATATATATATATATATATAACCTGCCTGCCACAAATAAAATGCATGCCTAGGCTACTCACTCCGTATTCTCCAGCTTACAAAGCACTGACAGCTTGTTTTAGAGCAATGCCATTTTTGGTTTGAGCTAACCTTGTTCCCTTTGTTCCTGCAAGCATGGTTAAATGGATATGACGTGTCCTTTTGCCACCATTTCAGTCTGGTCCCAGCTTAAAAGCCCACTTGCTCTTTGTTACCAAGTACACTGTTCTTGCTGTTTGGTATTTAGCTACAACTATTGACTGTCATGCTCAACCATCCCCATTGCTTATTTTCGAGTTCAATTGCTAAATGTATGCAGTCATGACACCATGGAATTGCACAGATAGGGCATGGGAGGATAAAAAAAATCTTAAGATAGGTGAATTCAATGTGGATTTCATGAGATTTCATTCATCTTCAAACCATTTATATATACTGTTCATGTCTCTGAATTCAGCTTGCAGATTTTTCTTTTATTTTTTCTTTTTTTTTCTTGTTTGCTTTAGTTAGATTGCAGTTTAAATCTAGCACACTTTGCCTAAGTACTGTTGTGTCCCTTAACTCTTTMAAAATACAACCCCTAAACTTCCAGTAATTAAATTCCAGGCTAAATAATAAAGAATGTTGGACCACAGGTCAGAATAATAGTCACCTAGAACTCTTAGTGGCAAAAGTGGTATGGTTCTGTTTAACACAAAATGCAGAGGGTAGGCCTGAGAAGCAGCACTGTCACATAGTAGTGGAAAACTACTATAAATAAAGTTTTAAATACTGTTTTAAAATCTGAAGTTTAATGTTTGCTGCTATATGTTTAACTATTTAGATTGAATTTAATGGAGCTTTATTTTTTTGTGGTTAAAAAGCAAGTATGATATTTTTTACAGTATTTTAAAATGTATTTTTTCCTTTAAAAAACACACTCATAGTTCTTGTATCATATTACTCTTCCGTGACCTTTTTTTAATTTAAAGTCATATCTTTTGATGTCAAAGTACCGAGAGAAAATCACTCAATGCTTAACATCCCCCTCAAAGGGCATGAGTGCCCCATTGGCAACTTAGGGAAGGTGGAGATAAAACTTTTCCTAGAGCTCYTAACATAATCCACCCATGTGACCACTAAAGGAGGAGTTTGTGGGTCAGTGTGAAGTTTTTTTTTTTTCTTTTGAACATTTTAAGGTTTTTTTTTTAATTTTGATTTCTATTAATTTCTTTTTAGGGGTCCATCATTAGCAGTCCTCACATGCGCCGAAGAGCTACATCAACCCGAGAGTGTCCATCTCGCCCTCACCAGACTATGCCTAACTCCTCCTCACTCCTAGGGTCCCTGTTCGGGAGCAAGAGGGGCAAAGCCCCTTCCCAAGGGCACGCGGCCCCGCAGCCCCCGCAGCACGCAGAGGGCGCGGYGGCGGCGCCTTCACACCCGCACCACGCCCAGTACTGCCACGTGCAGAACCCGCCGCCCTACCACCACCACCACCACTACCACCCGCCCCCGCACCTCCCGCACCCGCACCAGTACCACCAGCACGGCCCCCACGGGCACGGCGCGCACGCCCCGTACCTGCAGCACGGGCACGCGCACGCGCCGCACCCGCCGCCCCACCACCCGCACCCCGCCCACGCCCCGCACCCGCACCCGCAGCACCACCACGGGCCGCCCCCGCCGCCCGCCACCTCCGCCAGCACCAAGCCCAAACACAGCGGCATCAGCACTATAGTCTAGGCCTAAAGCCCCTCCTCATAACTCTAGTTTTAAACTGAGCTACAGAGGCACTTACAGGAAGCAACARATCACACTTGTCAGTTTTTACCTAGGCCATTTAATGAGCTTAAAGGCTTGCTGTTACTAAATAAAATAATTCCAGATAGCTCAGGCCACGCTGGTTTTACTTATCTACTGGATAGATGTTCACCACCGTCTGGTTAGTTCTTATTTCCAAACTTGCCTTGAAAACATGCTGCTTGCTGAATCTGAGGAAAGCTACCTTTTACACCAAATCCCTGGACAATTTTACACGTTGAAAAGTTACTCTATGGAAAAAAAAAAAAAAGGAAAAAAAGTGAGACAGAACCAAGTGTTGCATTCTTGCTCTTTTATTCTCAATGGGCAAAAAAAATAAGTAGACCTGATATGGTTGATGAAAGTACGTAAGTAAACTTTATATAATATAAATATATACATATAAATATATATATATACTGTATAGTTAACATTTGTGCTTGGAAAGAAATTTTTTCAGTCCACAAAACTAGCAATATAGACTTTACAAGGAATTCCACTTACTTGATAGGACAGTATAATAGATGAATAGCATATGAAAGAGTAGACCAAAAACATTAAACGTTAGAAACCAATTTCAGACATTTCAGTATTTTCATGACAAGTCCCCTGGACTTGTTAAGATCTCTAAGCAATCATTACTAAATGTGCCAAGTAACATAGCATTTAAATGTTGTAGTCCAATACTGCTTTGTATAAATCCTTATTTTATTAACACGATGATATCATACGTAATCAGTATTAGAACTGCTCTGCTATTTCAGGTAAGCAAACTCGTTAAGATGCAGTAATTATACCGTAGCAATGGAGGGGGCCCCCTTACCAGGAGGCACCTCCAAGCATTGGTCACACAAGTTCTTAGACACTTTAAAGGCTGTGATAACTGTGAATTTAAATGATCCACATTTCTTTTGTAAGCATATGGATTGAACGACCACATGGGAAGAGTTCTGCCAGGTGCATGTAAACACTGCAAAAACATTCATCTCAAACATAAAAAGGCAAACCTCCATCCTTCTCAGCTACTTTGGTTCCTGTTCACCATAATTTCTCATTTTTACCCCCAACGAAGCTGAATTCTAGTCCAGAGTGTTTCCAGTGGAAGTGCTCTAAAACTTGAAGGTTTGTTTTAGAATTTAGTATAGGGTTTTTATATCTATATATATTAAAATAAAAAAAAAATCTGTAATTCCATGTAGCCATGTGCTAGCAACAAAGTGGCTTTACCATTTTTACTCATCACATTTGTTAGTTTTAAGCACCCAGCACTCAGCAGGCTGAGTTTATGCTCAAACCCTCACTTCCATAGTCCAGTTAGCTGCAAGACATCACATAAAAATAGGCTGTGCTGTTGTTGCTTATGTGTTGTAACCAAACCATTTGCAAATTTCTATCTGATKTGTATCCCGAAATTCTGTACAAAGTCATCCATGGCACCTACTTTGTAGTTTCAGCACTTTGAGACACTGCAAGGACTTAACACCTAAACAGTAGAGACAAAGGAATCACAACTGCAAAACTGTACCAGCCTAAAAGCAAACCTTGAAGAGGATGAGCAAAAAGTTCCAGTAAGAGATGGGTAAAAGCAATCACAGCTACAACCACTCGGGTTTCTGTGTAATAGTACAAAAAGTGTCTGAAATTATGAGGACAGGAGAGTAACAGAGTGACTTGCCATGTTGGCTTCCTCATGGCATCTCTGACATGGGGGGGATGGGAGAGGTTCAGTCATTTTTTTCCCTTTCATACCATGGATACCACAATACCAGCAAAACTGCAAACTGAGCACTTTGTTAACCTCCACAGAGAGCAAATACAGCAATCTAGAGTTTAGCCTTTTGTTTCCAGCAGTCCACGTTTGTTTCACACATGTGCAATATGTTTTCCTTTCTGCTCCTTCTCCTCTGAATTACCTGGATGAAAAGAAAACAAGTAATTCTTAATTTTTCTGTATCGCTCATTCTATTCTAAATTCTGCGGCTTACCTTACGAGGSCTCGCCCGGGTCCCCTGAGGCTCTGTTCCTTGCAGTTTAAAAAAATATATACTGTTCTTATAAAGGGAAAGTAGAACTGTCTGCATGTCATCTAATGTTATTAGTGTGAGGCTACACTCTACATATTGTATAATTGCAAAATATATCAGTGTTACTGTTGATATTAGTTGAAGTAAAGTGATAACATATTTCAATATGTAGACTTTTCTTCATACATCTGTACCAATAGTAGAGTCTAACTGTAATTTATAGGTTGTTCCAGAAAAGATAAAGAACCATTCAGGTACAAACATCTCTCAGAAACTTCATCTTTTAATTAAAAGAGAAGTGAGAAAGCTCCTCTTCACTGAGTGATGGAGTCTGTAGTTGTTTCAGATGCAAAGGCATAACATAAGTAAAATTCTGTTCGTGGAATCAAGGCAGAATGTGGAGTAGCAGTGGAGAGGAAAGTCTGACTCACTGTTAACACTAAAGATGTTTGATCTCCCCAGATCTGCATTTGCATTATGTTTAAAAACCCTTTCATTTCATTTCAATTACAGTTACATATAAATATTCTGTACTTAAACAGCAAACCGCAGTTTAATTCCTGACCACTGATTTTCCATGTGCAATCCATGTATTTGTGAACCAGAGYGTTCAGGATGTCCCAAACGTGCCTGCACAGAAACATTCACCCATGGTTTCACGTACCCAGGGAAGGGTCTGTGCCTGCCCTGGGGCACAGCGAGTTGCAGAGTTGCACGTGTGAAATCACACATCATAAAAAACAACTGGTCATGTGAGAGCACACTATTTGGAAACTGTTCTTTCAAGCCAATGAGGAGAAACAGTGGACTTGATTTTTTTTTTCCTAGTTTTGTTTCTTAGACTATGTGTTTATCTGTACTTCAACCAAACAAACGTGTCTTGGTGTCAGCACAAGTCTCCAGCCCTTTGCTGCACTTTTAGGKTTGTGCTAAAACCTCTCTGACTCCGTCCTTGATTAACAGTTAAAGCAGCGTGGGTCATGCCTAGAATAGGAAAATTCCAGCACTCAACACCACCTGGGGTTAAAAAAATGAATTAAAATAAATTCTTCAGCCTGCAGGCAGGAGTAGAATTGAGAGGGTTTTTTTCTCAGATGCCATTGCCAATTAAAAACTGGTACAGAACTGCGTAGAGTGACCATGGTTCTCTCTTCCCATGACTATCTGGCAAAACAGTAATGCTGATTTGAGCAAATGAAAGGGCAACATAAAGAATGAAGGTGTGGTAACAAAAAAAAAATCTTTTCTGGGACAACAATCAAATATATATTTGGGGTTTTTATTTTTTTAAGTTTAAGAATGAAATGTAAAACAATGTAAAAACAGAAAACAAAGTTCATCCTAATATAATGTGTGTCTTGTATTGCTAAAAACAAAAGAGTCTAACATACAGTGTAGAATGATTTTCCCATCATGTACTGCATGCAGCAGAAGCCTCTTGTTTCTTGATAAAATGAGCTGAAAGACAGTCAGCAGATATTTAAACACTGAATCTCTAGATGTTGACTTGCTGTTCCATATGAAGCTGTGTGTTTTCTGCAGTTAAGCATGCATTTTGCTGTTCCCTTGTAAAATACCATCGCACTTCTTGCCTGCAAAATGGATTATTGTGTATATATTTAAAAGAAAAGTGGAACCAATAACAAGATTCAATTTGGAAAAGAGAAAAGGGGGTGGTGAAAATGGGACCAGTAGGGGGAATAGAGAATTCTCTAAATTGTATATAGTGTGTAAATTAGCATTACTATAAGTCTGCAGTCACTTTGAGGTTGCCTAACTCCTGCTAGGAACTTAAATCAGCTTTGAGTTGTATTAAACTGTTAGAATTAGGTCTTGAATGCAGACTGTTAAAGACTTCAAAAAACATTATGCTTACAAGAAGCTTCTGTTCTGGGGAGGCTCGAGACCCCTTTTGTAACTCTGGGGAAGAAAGGAGTGCTTTCATTTTAATATGCATTCTGTTTGTAAGTAGTAACAGACCCTATTGATGTAAAACTATAACTGTGATCATGTGGAGAAATCAAATAAATCATTTAAAACTCTTTGTTTCTCATCTTGTGCAATCCAAGAGCCTCAACTGTTCATATTTGAAATGAAGGGAATTGCCTCCGATGGTATCCTGGCCCTGCTGAGGCTGTGGGATTTCTGCTGCTCGCTCCAGAAGGGCCACGAATCAAAGATCAGGTGGTGGAGGTGATGAGTGGAGTCTGGGACTCTTCACTAGGCTTGGATTGTTGTTGTGCTGCTGTGAGTGTATTTAGTTCTAGA